GATCGCCGCCGCCGCTTCGTCCTTGCTCGTTAGGAGTTGCAGCCACATGTAGCGACTGTAATCATCCACAAGCAGGAGGAAGTACCGCCGACCACCATTTGTAGCAGGCGTGATCGGCCCACAGAGGTCGCCGTGAACGAGCTTGAGAGCGTCTTTCGTGCGATACTTGGCCGCCTTTGGAAAAGGTAGCCTCCTCTGCTTCCGGTCAGGCAGCTATCGCACAGCTCACCTCCGTGCTTGATGTGGGGTAGCCCTCGGACCATCTTCTTCAGCCAACCAAGCGCGTCGAAGCTGAGATGTCCGAACCGGTCATGCCACATCCACAGTTCCTCGGAGTGCCTTACCGCCAGGCACACCGGCTGCTCTACCTTCAGGTCGAGCAGGTACAACCGGTTCAGGGACCTCTTCACCTTGACGAGAAGTCACTGCTCCCGGTCCCTGATCCTAAGGACTCAAGATTTGATCAAGATTCGCATCGCTCATCCAGCCTAACCAAGGCCGATGATGATGATCTTTGGGCGCGGATGCGGGATATACATCCGTTAGCGCGCGGTGTTCCCCATTCTGGCATCTGAAGATAATGGTGCCACGCCCTTGATAGCCACCCTTAAGCCATCACCAAACTTCACTGTACCGGTAACATCGCCGTTGAGCTCGGAGAAGGATGCCTTGGAGCCCGTCATGTGGTTACTGGCACCAGAGTCCAGATACCACCACTGCTCCTGGTCGGCGCCCACACGTCCGAGGTGAACTTGGGCGCGTGGTTCGTCGAGGTTGACAGTCTTCAGGGCCTTCCTAGGTCCTTCCACCGTTGTTGCCTCTTTCCTCTCCTTGGCGTCGACGTCGTGTAGTGCACAGAACGTCGCCCTCAGGATAGTGGCCTCATCCTCATCATCGGCTTGCGCCAAATGAGCCTGAGCCTTTTTTCCTGATTGCGGTTTGGGCACTCTCGTGCCTAATGGCCCATCTTCCTGCAACGCTGGCAGGCGTTGGGATCGACATGCTTCTTCTCCAAAGAAGTCTTACCGCGGCGCTTACCATCGCCACCGCGGCTGGAGGAGGCTGCCTTCCCGGAGTTCCTCCGAGCAGCCCACTCCTCTTCCGTCAACAGGAGTTTCCCGCTGTCCTTCGTTGCTGTTGCCTGCTCCAAGCGCTCGTCCACCACCCGTGGACGGCCTGTCACATCCTCAATGGTGAGGGTGGACAAGTCCAGCATCGTCTCTATGGAGAGAGCGATCTGGATGTACTTTACCGGCACGGAGTGGAGATACTTAGAGACCGCCTCCTCTTCGTCGATGGTGACGCCATGGCTCTTTAGCTTGCTGATGAGTGTCTGCAGGCGGAGGGAGAAGTCATCCACCGTTTCACCATCCTTGAACTTGAGGTTGGCGTACTCCTGCTTCAGAAGCTGGGCCGTCACCTTCTTTGCGCGGTCGAAACCAACGCGCATCGCCGCAATAGCCTCCCACGCCTCCTTAGCAGAGCTCTGCGCCCCCAACGGCTCACTGTACTCCGCCGGTACAGCAGTGAGGATAGCCTCCAACGCTGACATGTCATCTTCTTCATTGTCGGTGTTCTTGTCAACAGCATTCCAGAGCCGTCGGGCTCTGAGCTTGAACTTCATAGTCACCGACCACTCTCCATAGTTGGTGCGAGTCAGCGTCGGCCAACTGGTGCCGCTGACCTCCCGCACCGTGCGAACAACGACCTCCGGTCGTGGCTGGGCAGCCACAGCAGTGCCACTGCTATCGCCCATCTCTGAACCGCTCGTCATCGCCAGCGGTTAGTCTGGCGACGGCCCTTGTACGGCTCTGATACCACTTGTTGGCCCACAGGATCATCGGCTCAGGTAAGTTAACCACTCACCAGTCTTGTCGAGCACCCGCCAGTATTACCGAGCACCCACTAGACGTGCCGACCACGAACAAGCGTTGTTCATCCCCACACACTATGGCTAGAGCTAGAAGAAGAAGGGAGAACAGATCTTGCATGCACAATACAAGACACCAGCATTGGTCGAAGCCCTGTCTATGAGATGACAAATCTGAGCTCTCTTTACTGAGTTGTCGTGGTAGTCTATTTATACAACTTTATTCATCTAGTTCTAGTACAGCGCACATGTTGTAACAGTAACTAGATAACATACTGTGGCTGACTTCATGTTGCCGCCGACGCATGTGCCTATAGTGTTGCAGTGAGCGATTCGGCGCTACGCGCACCAGAAGCGCCTCTGACAAAGATCTGGCAAGAGAGGTCTTTTCGACGTCACCTTCCCTTACTGTGTTCACATAAGGTATCAGTAGATTTAGCTAACAAAGGTATGGATAGTCCCAGCCCAGCTGATGTGTGATTCTCATCACATGGCTGCTCAACAGCCAATAATTATTAATATTAATATAACTAACCGAATCGCGCGCCTTCTCGCGTGATCAAATGCATGGTCTGCAGGAGGCGATGCAAGTGGATATTCTGCCTGCTGGTCTGCCTGCCGGAGCAACTTGCCAATACGTAGTTGCCCCATGACGACGACGCGGCCGGCGACCGGGCAAAATGCACATCAAAGCGTATATGCATCAGCGACGACGTAGGGGAGCTAGCTAGGCTGCCAAACTTGCTACAGTGGAGTATTGCTTTGCACACGTCCATGTTTACATCAATTTGGATTTTATGCATCAGAAGCGACGACGTTTAGGGGAGCTCAAAACTAGGCAATTTCCCACCAAACTATGCAATTAGTTTTTCTTTTCATCTACATTTAATGATCCATGCACGAGCCACAAACATTCGATGTAACAGGTACTGTCAACTTTTTAGAACCAAAGGGCGTACCGTGTGGCATCCGGCCGGCATCCTGTCCTGTCGCGCGCAAGGGGGCATGCTGCCCTCGCCCATGTGCGTGCTCCATCGCGTACGCTCAACTCGCACTGTTTGGAGTTTTTCGTCGCTCATCTCATCAAATCGATCTTTCTCCGATCCACATCCAGGTAAACTTCGGGAGATGTGCATTCATGTAAAGTTAGTGCCAGTTTAGTTTTTAAAATTTTATAAAATTTTTTAAGATTTTCCGTCACATCAAATCTTTGGACGCATACATGAAGTATTAAATATAAATAAAAAATAAAACTAATTATATAGTTTAGACGAAATTTACGAAACGAATCTTTTAAGCCTAATTAGACTATAATTAAACACTAATTACCAAATAACAACGAAAATGCTGCAATATCATTTTAAAAAATTTCGGTCTTAACTAAACGAGGCCTTAGCCGCCGGAAAGGTGGATCCATGCATCGGGTGGACCGGGACCGGCGAAATCATGCGGCGGCCAATCCATCGGAGATTGGAGCTAACGCGTAGGACTGGCACGGGCCGGTCCTCATCTGCGCTCGCTGGGCTGGCTGAGGACACGACATGATGGTCTCTGGATATGGATTGACGCAGACTTCTGGTACGGCGTGTGAGGTGGATCCACACAATCACACCGTACATGCTATTTGTCCGTTCCCCGGCTCCGACCCCAGCTACTATTACACGGCATCGATGGTTCCTGGTCTGCCACGTCGAATCTCCTGCCGCCTAAAGTTACGTTGCATGCTGTGCCCACCTCATTCTCATCGACCCATATCAAGCAACTCATACATACATACATACGTACATACTCCTATGACGATGATGTTGTAGTTTATTACCTATGCTAATCTGCCTAGTAGGTAGTACAACAATCAACCATCACGTGTTCGTCGCCACTGGCTTAACTCCCGCTGGACTGCTGGTGTGGCGCCGTGGTGGACCTTACCGCAACTAATACGCCCCCCCACCTCCCCTCTTATCCCACTCTCAACTCTAAAACTGTGTCATTTTACCATCACTGCTACATAAACAAACACTTCTTCACAAGGCCCATCGCGCTCTGAATTTTGAGATGGTTGCCACCGGTTATATCACAACTTAGACAATGAAACGGCACCACGCACTGTCGTGCGTGGATGCGGATTGAATATCATCCCACTCTCTCTATCTCGCATAGCTCCCTCCTCTCTTCCCCTCTCTCACACATCTCAAGCATCAGCAGCTCCCTTTATCTCTCAAGCGTCTCAGTAAGCTCAAAAGTTTTAACTTAATTTGAGAATAAAAAGAGTCTATAGTACGTAATAAGAACAAAATTTGAAAAAATAAAATTTAGATCCATAAGGTATATGATGCAACAAAATCCACCATATAGTTAATGGAAAAGGTTTTTGAAACTAATTGTATAATTAAACAATACATAGGTGTCATGCAAAGGGAAAAATAAATATAATTGAAAAAATGTATACATCACCCCTTGCAAAAAAATATTAATAAGTTTATGATAACTGGATTGTCATTATGTTAAAAAAATAAACAAATATACAATTTAATATAAGTAATTCTTTATTAGTCATATGTATTAACTAATAACTAATACTTATATCTCCTAAAATTGTACCCAGTGCGAGAGCACGGGTGGACGGACTACTGGTATTAAGACTTATGTCTTTAAATAAGTTTATTATGAATAATTAATCTAATGATATGTATTTTGTATTATAAATGTTAATATTTTTTGTATAACTTTAGTCGAATTTCAAATCATTTGACTCCACGGAAAATGCGAATTACATTCTTTTTGGACAGAGGAAGTTTGTTGGAAGATTTCACAAAACTCGCATGTTTAGATTAATTGGCATCTGTATTACGAAATTGTTTACTTTGCAACCCTCGACCCAAAAGATGAGAGATAAGGGGCATGCACTATTCTGATATCCTAAAAACAACTCCAACATGACCTTACTTGAGCCCTCAAAACCAAATTTGATTTTGAAGGGCTCCTGACGGGCACTGCAACTAACCGAGAGAGAACATGTGTTTATCCCTCCTGCCCCTAGACAAACGGCAGAGCAACTGAGGGGAGGCCACATCGCACAGCTGCCAGCTGCCTCAGAATAAGCAAGATTCGTCGCTCCCTCCTTGTACTCAGATCACGCGAAGAAGCTTGAGATGTCGAGGTCGAGGTCGTCGAGAAACCCGTCGGGTCTGTCGAGCGCTGACATGACTTCCTCGAACCCGAACTGCACATTCAGCCTGTTCGGGAGGCCGTATCGTATCGTGGATTATTTATTGCTGGCTGGTTTGGTGTGAAAGAAAAACACTGTTTCCGGCTGGAAATTTATGATCGTTTACGAGCAAGCGAACAGGCTGAAAGCTGTCGCCGCAGCTGCTGCTCCGGTACAAGGTGACCTCGAAAGGCGGGAAAGAGACGACGCGGTTGGATTCCGAGGTTGCCGGGAACACTGTAACACCTAAAATTTGACATGTCATCATATGCATTGCAAATCATTCATAGAGTAGAAAATTTTGAATGCATTCACTAAATAAGGTTTATTTCATAATATTGTTATTTTCTGAAATATGAATAGTGCAGTAACTTTGAAAATTTATAGAAAATTAATTACAGCTCTAAAAATTCTAAAAATTTGTGTGTAGCTTCTGTACATGTTCTATTATGGTTTAAAAATTTGAAACTTGAAATTTGAATAAATTTTTAATGTTCAAAAATTCAGTCAATTAATTGATAAATGTAATTTCCATAATTTTTGTAGGTCACTGTATAGCTCCAAAAATTATGAAATTTATTTTGGTACACTAATTTGTTACGAGGAAGCTTACATAAAATTTTGAGGTCATTTGTAACAAGTTTATTTTTGGACTTATTTCCAAATTAATTTAAAAATAAATAAAAGCAAACCTTAAGTGTTTGACTAGTGTTTGATCTTGTTTTGATCATGTTTTGTGACTAGTAGGATTTCAAGATCAGTTTGGTCAAGTCACATGTGTGGTTCTTGCCGGTAGAATTGCAAGTTGATTTTGTTGGCTTGCAACTGTACCGTGAAGGAAAATCGTATTCGGGGTGTTGTTACATTTCATGTACCGTGAAAGCATCATGTTAAAGCATATGTTATCATTTCGTGTAGAACCCGAGAGTGAAACGATTCTAGTTGAGCAAGTCCTGGAAGAATCCCCGGTTGTCACGGGATTTGATAATTATGGTACTAATCCGGAACCTGAGATCGTCAACGAAGGCAAGTCCCGGTTTGTGCATTAAACCATTACCTTGTTTACTTTGAAAAGTTTATCACCTATGTTACTTATTGCATTAAGTTGATTTACTTCAAATGTTACCTACTTTATGCATTGCCTACCTTGTTGATTGTTTACCATCCTTGAAAATGATTTCATTTACAAAGGCATAGAATTGCTTAGTATGCTTTATGGTAGGTTTTCAAAGTAAAAGTTTCGATACAATCAAAGATGGCATACTGGCCAAAAAAGAAAGAAAGAAGATAGAATGAACTAGAGACTAGTCGGGTGGCTTATCTTGAATGTTGGGTAATGTTGCCGACTATGTCGCTTAAAGGCAACTCATTGTGGATCTTCTGAACGAGACACTTTATAGTTCTGGTCACATACTCCGGTAAGCCTACTTTGGCTAATCCGATACTAAGACGAATGCCCACGCACTGGGAGTGGTGAGATGGCGGGAGTAGCGTGTACCCTCGTGGCTTGAATGTGGCCGGATTTGAGGCGTGCTGTGCTCTCGGGTGGCGTGGAGACGGCTTAGTACGAGAGGATCCGGTAGCGAGGTTGATATATGCAAGATTAAGTTCTACATATGTCGTGTGATAAGGAATCCCCAACTGGGACTTGAATCAATTCGAATTGCCGGTGCTCCGCGGATATGGAGACTCGATTCATTACAGAAGCAATGCAGGACTGGTGAATTACTAAAACTTGAGAAAAGGATTGAAATGAGAAGGATTGGAACATGGGATATGAACACTTAGTTTGAGATATTGAACTAAAGTACTTAGGGGTAAAACTTGAAACTAGGATTAAGAATAGTAAGCTTTTGGCAAAGAACTTTTGAATCTTTCTACATCCTTACCTTGACCCAACACCTGCATCACTAAGACCTTCGTCCTTTTTCGTCGGGTCAGTCTTGTTGAGTAGTTTTGTACTCAGGGTTTGTTAACCCTTGTTGCAGGTGAGTCGCATGCGCAGGCTTGTTTTGGTCCCTGCTGCATGTCAGTGTTTGAAGTCGATGACAATGAGGAATGATGAATGGCCTTTGACAAGGCACTAGTTTGTGTGAAATAAATAATGTTAATGTAATATTATCCCGCTACTATGGTTGTATGACACTTATGGTTATGTAAGTTTAAAACAACTGGTTTGTAATATTAAAACTTAAGTCTTTCGCTTTATAATCTCTGGTATGTATATTGAAAACTGTTGTAATCTGCAATGACTGTGATTGTGATCCTGTTTGGAAAAGATTCGTGGATGATTCGGGTTTCCCGAGGACACCCGATAGATCTGTTAAGTTATTAAGAACTCGTGTACGTTATCTGAGGTCTGTTGAGACATCGATAGATGCACGTGGGCCCGATTTCTTAGGAGGTTCTACCACAGACACGCCCCAGTTGTCGGACGTCGACGACGCGGAGAAGGGGCTGCGCTCCGGTACAAGGCACCCGCTCGCCGTCGCCGGCGTGGAGGAGAAGCAAAAGGGCGTGGGCGCGTCCCAGCCCTGCAGCAGCTGCTGTTCTGGCTCCACGGCCGGCCCCCTGTCCTTCACGTACCGTCAGGCTGGAGCTCAGGCTCTGCAGGAGGCTGCTGGCGCCCGGGTTGGGCCTTGTTTAGATGCCAAAAAATTTGGCAAAATGCACTGTAGCGGGTTTCGTTGTTATTTGGCAATTAGTGTCCAATCATAGTCTAATTAGGCTTAAAAGATTCGTCTCGTGGATTTCGTCTAAACTGTGTAATTAGTTTTATTTTTTAATTATATTTAATGCTTCATGCATACGTCCAAAGATTCGATGTGACGGAGAATCTTAAAAAATTTGGCAAAATTTTAGGGAACTAAACTGGCTCTTGGCGTTGTATTTATACTCCGGCGCCTGCGCGTCCGCGGCAGCCTGACCCGCCGCCGCAGACGCCCTCTGGCTCTGAACGCAGGTGTGGTCGCCGAGGTACATAACATCAAAGAAGGTCGGGTCCTCGTCGGTGCGCTGCACTTGCTTCGTCGTCGCACATCCCTGGGAGTGCCGGTGCGTGCAGCGGTAGTAGCCCCTGGAAATTTTGCATTTTTGCTCGTGAGCTCCTGAATCTTTTTTTCTTTTGGGAAAACAAGAAGAAGAAAAAGAGATTTTGCTTGTGCATCCAGAACAAGATTAACTAACATCACCAATCCGATTTGGAAATTGCACAAATAATGTGGAGGCCAAACACTTGCAAACAACGCAAACAAACAGAGGCAGCAACTTTTTCAGCAAGACAAGACATGCAGCCCCGCCATCCAAATTAAAGCAGATATAAGAAAGCACAAGGAAATGGTTTTGATTCCACTTGCGAAAAGAACACGTGCAGATGAGATTGGGCGGAAAAGAAAAATCTTTTGATAGGCGGATGTGTCAAGTCAAGTGGGGCAACCTTGGGTGCTTGGCTCCAAGGATCTCCTTCTGGCCGTACTTCCTCCAGCTCTGGCCGTCGTCGTCCGGGTGGTCGCCGGCCGAGCTCACCCTCACCTCATGCCTCTTCTTGTCCATCGTCGTCCTGCAAGTTAACATAAAAAGCACTTGAAAAGCTCAGCAAACAGAGAGCGTTTCTGTTTGTTAATCGGGAAGCTCCACTTGCGATTCCACTTGCGATAAGAACTCGTGCAGATGAGATTGGGCTCTGGAGTCTGGAAAAGAAAAGAAAAATCTTTTCTTTTTTGATAGGAGGATGTGTCAAGTCAAGTGGGGCAACCTTGGGTGCTTGGCTCCAAGGATCTCCTTCTGGCCGTACTTCCTCCAGCTGTGGCCGTCGTCGGCCGGGTGGTCGCCGTCTCCTCCGGCCGTGCTCACCCTCACCTCATGCCTCTGCTTGTTCTTCGTCTTCCTGCAAGTTAATATAACATCAGTTGGGGGAAAAAAACTCAGCAAACAGAGACCAATTAGGAGGGTTTATGTTTGTTTGTTAATCGGGAAGCTCCAACGATGGATACCTTTTCTTGGTGGCCTTAACGAAGGGCGCGTCGGAGGCGTCGCTGAGCGGGCTGGCCGTCGCCGCCGACCGCTTCCGCGCACCGTCGAGGGTGGAGGTGGTGATGAGCAGGCTGATGGAGCGCTCGGTGATGGAGGAGATCTGCGAGGCGAGTTGCTTGCAGAGGTCGGGCGAGGAGCCGCCGAGGTGCACCTCCAGCTGCGTCACCAACTCCTTGATGTGGCCCAGCTCCGTCACCACCAGCCCGCCGCTGCCTCCATTGCCGTCGACGACGCTGGCCATCGCTCGACCTCTTTTTGTCTGTTGCTGTCGCGCAGGCTAGAGCAGGTTCGGATGGCAGGGCCGCCGGGTGGTGATCGATATTTGGCGATGGCAATGGTGCCGCGAAACTGGAGGCACCCCAGGACTGTGTCGCTGCTGCTGCTGGGAGAAGAGAAGAGGCAAGTGCGGAGGTGGGTGGCTGGGCTGTGACTTGTGAGGGAGTGATGAGGCGAACGGCGCAGGGAGCTGCCCTCTTTATTTATAACGGCGACGACGACGGGTCGACGGGGGAAAAAAAACAAGGGGAGGGAAGCGTGTTTCGTCTTGGGGCCGGGAGGGGAGGGGATGACTGTTGCAAGTGCAGTAGGATTGTTTGGGTTTTGGACTAGAGACTGCCAGGGCTATGATTGGCCATGTCGGATTCGGATCGGACCCCCCCGTAACACGTCTTCATGCATGCATACACTACGGGACCACGTAGTTTTGCCGAGGCAAAGGTCCAAAAACAATCGGCAAACACTCGACAAACTTATTTTCAAAAGAAAACAAATAATTATCTGGACAGCAAGGAAATCAGCCCATGTGGATGCAAACCAATAATCATTCAGTAGTTTGAAGCACACCAGTACTAGAAATTTACACTTGCAAATTGTAATCCATCTCTACAGTGCTGGGAGGCTCGACTGCTTGCTGCTGAGGGGCAGGAGGCGACGAAGCAACGACGGATGTGCAAGCGCTGGGGAGGCACGACTAGCTGTTGAGGGACGAGTCAACGAAGCAGCCGACAGAGGCGCAAGCCATGGCCCCAAGCTGCCAGCGGCCACGGCGCCTGGCCCTTGCTTCCTCGACGACGCGGAGGCATCGGCGGCTCTGGCCCCAAGCCGCGCGGAGCTCGCTCCCACTGCCTGCAGAGACGTGCCCGCGCGGAGCTCGCTCCCACGGCTGCCCTCGCTCCTGCGGCCGGCGGAGCTGTGGCTGGCAGAGCCCGCGCCTTCCCCTCTGGCAGCGGCCTCCTGCGCCGCCTTCCCGTCCCGTGCTTCCCGGCCCCACCAGGCCCGAAGTGTGCCGTGGACCGGGCCGCCGCCCCGACGCCGGTGAAAGCCGGAGAGCACCACCTCCGACCGCTTCTGCTCAAACGCACGGAGCTGGTGCTGCTCACCGCCGGGGCTCCGTCGAGGCGGCCGTGCTCGCCCGAGAGGCGACGCTCCGGGGAGGAGGCAGAGCACGCCCGCGGCGGTGGTTCCTCGTGACGCGAGAGATCCGGGAGACGGAGGGGCGCTGGGCCAGTTTATTAAGTGGATTTTTGTCTTTTGCCGAGTGTCCTAGATCTGGGCACTCGGCAAAGTAGATTTTTTTCTTTTTTTTTCTCAAAAAAAAGATTTTTATTTCTTTGCCGAGTGTCCTAGATCTGGGCACTCGGCAAAGTTTTTTTTTATTTTTTTTCCATTATTCTTTCCTAGAAAAAAAGATTTTATTTTTTTGTCGAGTGTCCTAGATCTGGGCACTTGGCAAAGTTTTTTTTTCTCTCCTTTCCCAGAAAAAAGATTTTATTTCTTACCGAGTGTAGAAAATAAAACACTCGGCAAAACACCCTCTTTGCCGAGTGTTTTTTTTGGACACTCGGCAAACCCTCTCTTTGTCGAGTTTTTTTTTGCCGAGTGTTTTTAGCACAGCACACGACAAAGGACTTATTCGCTAAGTGTCCGAGGAAATACACTCGGCAAACGTAAAAACACTTGGCAAATTTGACGTTTTCGGCAGTGATGCTACCGAGTGCCAAACGTCCAAGAAATAAAGGGTACCTACCGCTACCCCTACCCTGCGCGATCGAGAAAGCAGCACCCTAATTGTCGGAGGCTTGGTTTTCGATCGAGAACCTCGTGATCAAGCAACGCTCATCAGTCATCACCACCCTAATTGTCGGATTTTTTTCCTTGGTGGTACAAGATGTTCGTTGAGGTGAACGTCACGATGGGAACCCCGAAGCTACGGCCAGCCCTATTAGATGCTAGCTTGTGCATCCCATCGCAAATGGGACCAAAAGATGCTTTGTTGCTCTTTATTTTACGCACGCAGTGACCACTGAGAGATAGTTTGCTGAATCTAGCTAGTTAGGGATTTGAATACTGGATGAGGTCCTAGTAATTATTTTTGGTAAGAGGAACCTACTTTATGGAAAAAGTAGGAAGGACTGTGGATACTGCATTCACACATACTCTTTTCCACTCTGCATGCATTCACACCTACGTACTGAAAGTACTGGGCATATATAGATAGTGCCCGAGCTGGTCGTACATATGAAAATTCAGCGAAATCATGACTAGCCAGGCAGCCGTAATTTGCCTGCTTTTTTCCAGGATTTACACTTTGGAAATTTCCACTTCATTATCATTATCATTAGCTCCGTCGTGTTGCCTGCAACAAATTCAGAATGATGTCATGTTTACTTTGGTGGAAACACATGTAAGGCCGAGGACGGTCGTATTAAAAGTTGTCTCTGAATTCTGATGCCACCTTGTACAAAAAAGCTTTGCCGGAATGCAGCAGTAGCTGTCACATGTCGGAATCAGCAGCTAGCGGTTGTCTACCAGCTGAGAGCTGACACAGTCCTGCTGCTGTTTACGAGATGATGAGTAAACAGATACTGCTAGCTATTATTAGTACTCACCAAACCTTTTCACGCATATCCAACATACTAGTACTAGAGACTTAACTCATTTTAGCCCATCGATCATCTGTCATATAGTGTCATGCAAACACACAACGGAGCGTATATCTCGATGAACCTGCGCTGCTGATCGAACGAAGCCTATGATACTAATACTAATATTAGGAAGGCATACCAGCACCAACCAAGATATGTTAATAAGCCAGTTGCCCACTGTGATGATGACCGATTCAATAGTTTGCCCCCGGCCCTTTATTGGCACAATTAAACGCCGCAATATATATAAGATCAGCATCATTAGCAATTTGTTGCACATGCTGCGTGCATCGATCCGGCATCCAGACGATTATACAAGTATGGAAACAGACAGTAGCTGAAGATAGATACAATAACATACTACTCGAATTCGAATGACAGTTGTAGTACGACGTTAGAGCTACTCTTTTCATTCCACTCTGCGTGCATTCACACCTACCGAGGCCTTGTTTCGGTTCTTCTTAAAGTTTACTTCATATCACGTCGGATGTTTGAACACACATATATATAATATTAAATATAGACTAAAAAATAATTAATTACACAGATTACGACTAATTTACGAGATGAATTTTTAAGCCTAATTAGTCCATAAGTTAACAATATGGTGCTACAGTAAATATGTGCTGATAATAAATTAATTAGGCTTAATAAATTCGTCTCGTGGATTACCAAGGACTTCTGTAATTTATTTTATTATTACTATCCGAACACTTCCATGTGACACCCCGATGTGACACCCGATATGACATTCCTAAACTTTGCTCCCTGGATTTAAACACCACCTGAAAGTATTGAGCATAGATAGTGGCCGAGCATGTCGCGCACACGCGCGTGTGTGTATATATATATGAAAATTCAGCGAAATCATGACTAGACAGCCGCAATTTTTTCCTAGTAGGATTTACACTTTGGAAATTTCTTTTGAAGGTCAACGGGGGAGGTGTTCTCCACCTGATTTCATATATTGGCCCAAAACGGCCCGTTATATAGTTTTACAAGGCATTTTGTACATAACAGTGACACAACCAAAGTTCACCAAAAGAGAGAAAAGAGCACAACACGGCACAAGAACTCTTCCACGATGCCTCTAGGGAGGTGAATGACGCATAGACGTAATCATCCTCCGCCGAGCAAAATCTTAGCAGGGCTTTCGCCCGAGTCTTGTGCCGAGGAGAAACCGCAGTGGCCTGGCTGACCCTGAAGAGGAGGCAGTAGGAGGTTCTTCAGCGATGCCTTCAAGAAGGAAGATGCACTCGAAAGCGATCCTCATCGCTGGCCTAGCCAAGAGCTAAGCAGAGCTGTCGCCCAGAAACCTCGCTGTTGCGCTGTAGAGCTGGCACCCTCTGCCCTCCCTGACAAGAGGCACAGGGGGAGGGCAGCCGTGGACATGCAGCCTCGTCGCCGGCACGCCCGCGGCCAAACCACGCGCACCGCGCACATACATTAAACAACACACGAAGAGAAGATGTAATCCGGACACGACGCCATTGCTGGCTGCCGACCGAATTTCTGCGATCGGCAAATCAGATTTAGCCACCGACGACGCCACTTAGCGGAAACTTTCTCAAATTTTACCACAGCCTCCTCATGCGATGACAAG